ATTGTCTTCAAGGCAAGTGAGGAATTTGCTAGACCTTGAGGATTTCGCTGAGTTTGATTTCCAGCAAATCATATTTCTACATTCCAATCATGAGACTCATCCCACCAGGTTTCAGTGATGCCTATTATATCATATTTGTTTTGTTGTGCTAGGAGTTCAAGTTCATCTTGCTTATTTCCCATGCTCTGTGCATTAGTGTAGAGACATCTAAAACCATATGTCCCCTTTACTTGCTGCCTGTGCACGGTTTTTTTTGCCTCCCACTGTTGGGTCCTTGCATTGTTTGCCTTGTTTCCTCTATGACAGTTTGACTGTTTTTTCCAGTCCTTTTGTCTTTCAGAACACTGTCTCCCTTCCCCAAATAACTCAGTTTAAAGCCCTCCTGATCAAATTCTTGAGACTGTTGGCAAAAACGTTTCTTCCAACTGGCGTGAGATGCAGCCCATCCCTTGCCAGAAGTCTGCCCTCATGGAACTGCAGCCCATGATCTAAGAATCCAAATCGTTCTCAGTGACAACATCTGTGTATCCAGTTGTTGACATCTGCTATTTTCCTCTCTCGTCCTGGACCTTCAACTGGCAGAAGAGATGAGATAACAATCTGTGCATCCATTTCTTTCAGCTTCTTACCCAGAGCCTCGTAATCCCTTGTGATGTTCGGAGTGTGGTGGAGTCTCCTTCCTTGGAGGTCTTTAAGCAGAGGCTGGATGGCCATCTGTCGGGGATGCTTTAATTGGGTGTTCCTGCATGGCAGGGAGTTGGACTGGATGGCCCTTGTGGTCTCTTCCAACTCTATGATTCTATGACTCTTTGAGTCCCTATGTTGGGAGAAAGGCAAGATATAAGTAAATAAAATCATCATCATCATAGTCATAGTCAACTTGGACTAGTCTTATATGGGTAGAGGAAAGCCATGTTATTCAGAAAACTCTGGCTAGATAATTCACATAATTCACTTCCATATGGCATTATCTCATGTTATATTATTACTCGAGAATAAGAAGAAACCTCAGGAATTGCTTGAGGCATTTAAGAAGCCAAGATTGTCTATTCTGAACAGCCAGCCAAGCCGTGCTAATATTTTAAGACTTAACTTTAAAGAACAGATTTTTAAAAATATAATTAAAGCTGTAGATTTAGAAATAGGCTTTTATATTTTCACAAGCATACCATGCAAGCCTTTTACAAAAATTTAGACACACCCTTCTTTGCAAGGCTGACATAGTGGTATGCAGTCTTTCTGCAAATGTCCTAAATATAAAAAGAGAATGAAAGAAACCCAGTTAGAAAGACTTAAATGTAAATAGCCACTTGCATTTGACGCAAATGTAAGCAGGCACCTTTATAAATTAGTGGCAGGCCTTGAGGGAAAAGACATTTAATCCATCTTGATGATTGCATTATGTATAGATGTTTCAGTTTTAACTGACATATGCTCAAACTTTGCAAGCATCCAAGGCCAGACTGGAATCTGATGGCTCTCTGGCGACTGCTACTTGGTGAAGGAGATAGAAAATAACTAAGAGTAAATAGTACTTCCTTTGAAAATGTTATGACAGCATAACCAAGAGCAGCTCTAACAGCTGGGACCGAGCGAGCAAAAAGCTGCTACCACAATGGGAAAGAATTTTCTTGGGACCTCCTCTGCCAGGGCTATCTAAGAATGGCATCTGTGAAGGTGTGCATGCGTTGCTCAAATGGAGGCAGATCTGTGTAGGAATACTTTGCTGTTTTCTTTTTAATAACTGTTATTATCTCATTATTGTCTTACTTTATGATTTACTGACTGAACATGCTGATATATTCCAAGGTAAGCAACAACAGCTTTTTATTTATCAGAGGCTCCTCATTCCCAATGATGTGTATTACATTCACCATGCCATCTCCCTTCTCAGGGTCACTGTCAGTGGATGCTACAAGCATTAGGACAAACTTTGCTTTCTCATTGCAAAGTTGTTCTCAACTACAGTGCTTTATTCCTCTTCCCCATCCTTAAGAATCATCACCATTCATATATATGGAAGGAAGCAAAAGGAAACTTGTGAAGATACTACACAAACCACACAAATCTGCATCACACCTTAGCCTTAGCCATATTATGAGAAGATAAATCCTTTGGCTGTACCATGAGAACAGGTTGCTTACCTGTAGCTGTGGTTCTTTGAGTGGTCATCTGTGCCCTCACATAATAGGGTGACTATTATCTGTGGTAGGTGGGAAGGTCACTGCAGAATAGAAGAAAGGACAGCATGGCCAAAGTTGGCATCTTGATTCCGCAACATATTATAAAATGTTTTGAGAGGAATTATGTGAGCCGTTACAATTGGTAATGAATGCTGCGTTAGAGGAGAAACTGCCAGGTACATGGAAGGAAGCTGAAATAATATTGATTCCCAAAGAAAATAAGGATGAGTTGGATGTCAAAAATTACAGACCTATATCTCTTCTAAAACTGATTATAAGGGCTCATTCCCACTTGTATTTGAACCGTTTTGCGAGTCGCATTGATACCGGGTCTCTGAATCGATTCAGGTATATGTGTAGTTCCCACTATGAAAGCGTATTATTTCATTATTCCATGCGTTTGTGTCTTTTTTTGACCCAATTGTCGTTCCCACTTCATTTGCGCCACTGTCGATCATATTGCGTCATCAGTGGGGAGAAGGCTTAAAGGGGCAGCGGCCTGGTTACCAGGCAGCCCCAGTGACAGTGGTGAGACAGAGCCCAAAAGGAAAATGTGGGTCCTTGCTTGGGTACCTTCCCTTTGCCCGCTTTTCAGGGGAAGAACTCGGTCAGAGGGTGACTGGATGGAGGACACCCTCCTGTCTCCTCTGCTTGGGGGACCAGTGGCTTCCTGGGGCTGGAGGCAGCTTCCAGCCCTTGAGGGCGACCTGCCAGGCCAAGCAGTAGCCATGGTGGAGAGGAATCCCCTTCAATCCAACACTATCTCTGGGTGTTTGTGTGGACATTGCCTCCAAAAAACAGGAGCCTTCAGAGACTCTGACTGACTTCCTGAGGTGTCCCTCCACCTCCCTCCCTCTCCGTCGGGGCCTGCCATGCCTGCTGACCATGGCCATGGCCCCCCCGGCTGCTCTTTGGTGGGGGGCTTCCCAGGGGGGCCAGGCCAAAGCCCCTTTCCCCATAGAGGGAGCATCACAGAGTCCCACTCCCTCAGGAGTCCAGGGGAGACCCCACCTCGGATCACACCCTGAAGGGAGCCAAACCTACCATGGGGTTTTCTTGGTTGGCAGGTTTCTTCAGAGGGGGTTTGCCATTGCCTTCCACTGAGCTGAGAGAGTGTGATTTGCCTGAAGTCACCCATGGCCAAGTGGGGATTCGAACCCAGATCTACAGAGCCATAGTCCAATGCTCAAACAACTAGGCAACAATGCCCCCCAAAATAATAAAGGATACAAGGAAACTACTTCTGGAGGTCTCTTCTTTCCTGCAATTCAGAGGGTGGAAGGCATGCTTGTCTGGCACAGGCAAGACTTGAGTGGGTTCTCCCCCTCCACCCCTTTCTCCCTCCCTCCATCGGAGGGCTTTTAGTCCCTTCCCC